AGGCATTGCTTGACAGATTTGATCTCCTGGAGCATTTTGTTCAGGATATTGAATGTCTGAGGGTTGGACCAAGCAATGACACTCTGTTGTCCCAAATTAGCCTCTATGAGGTTGTAAAGGCTTTCAGAGGACACCCCAAGACACTGAATGAGATCCATAAGTGAGCTGCTTTGTTGTCTCTGCATGGATTGCTCCTCTGCAGAGTTAAAGGAGTTCTGGGCCAAAGGGTTCTCATACTCATGACCTGCACAGTCATGTCCTATGAAAGAGCCAGAAAGAACAAACAAACATGTGAACTCTACATTTGTTTCATGTTTTGACTTGATCCAAGCCAAATGAAGGGGTTATATATATTTTTTTTTTTTCTGATAAAAAGGGGCGATGTAAAATTCTTGCTGTGACTCGGCCAAGATATGTGACAATGAGCCTGTCAGAGTTTGCCAGCTTCTAAAAGCCTGGGTGATGTAATTGTGAATGAATGAAATGCCAGAGACTAAGCAATTTATCAAGCTCATCCTTACTCCTGATGCTCTTTCCATTTGAGCTCAGGTGATTTTTTTTTTTCCATCAAGACAACAGTGTCTACCACTGAGTTGGTCCCTTTGAGAAGGACAAATAGGTGTCAGTTTTAACCCTCTCAGGCTCAAATTAAGTTTTTTGTTGCTAATGCACAACCAAGTCCTGCAGTGGTACTTCTGAGTAAAAAAAACTCATAAAATATGTATGTGGGGTAATCAGGTTGTTAGTTTTTAACTGTTGCAAATCGGCAACGCCTGCCTTGAGAGGGTTAACATTGGTGCTAGTCACCTGATGCCATTGGTTATGAGTCTTATTGTCTACTTCCTTTAATCTTGACATTCCACTTGTAGTTTGTGGCTAGTTTCTGGCTACAGTGCATGTTTTTTCACTTAATCATATTCAAACATAAAATTCGCTTTGTTTTCGGATAGGAGGAAGTAAAACCAGCACTTATGATGAAATTTAAGTGTGCACTTGATTATATAAGTAGGAAGCCTCTACACTTATCGATATTAACTTGGGAATGCATGTTGGGACATATTTGTTCTGGTTTGTTTGGGAATACCCTGCATACCTGAGGCTAAGCTGCGCTGATATGCAAATATTGCAACGTTACTTTGTTGCCGCTTCAGCAACAGCTTGTGCTGCTCGTGTGTTAAACTAGTTTTTATTTCTGAGTTAATGGCCTATCAGTAACAATCAATCAATAAATAGCAATTATTTCAAACAAATATAAAATAGCCAGTCCGTGGATGATTCCAGTTATTATTCCTTGCTACATATAAACTATACAGATGAAGGATTCCCACAGTAATAATAGTAAAGCGCTCTTACCGTCTTGTATGTTGTTGTTATTTTCTATTAAGGGTTTCTTGCCCTCACTCATCCGAATCTTCTTCTTTCTGCTGAAAATCTTCTTCATATCGACTTTTAACTGCTCGCTCTTTTAGCAAAGACGATGCTTGAACACATGCAGTGTCACGTTTCAGTAATGCACTCCTGGCAGCGCTGTGTGGTGTGGAGCTTATAAAGCAGTCGAAGGGATTTTCCCGTAGCATCACTGCGACTGTACAAAATGCTTTCGTTTCTGCATCATTTGACATCATCCTAACAGCAATGATGCAATGTGTAATAATAATAACAACAATAATACCTACAACTCGCCGAAGAAAGCCTGTTGTCCTAACTTTTGTGAAATTTGTGAAAACATCCTAACATTTAAATAATATATCGCTTTGGGGGGTTAAAGTGTGAACACTGTGGTTACACATTGCTGAATGAGTCGTTGTACTACAGTGTAAAACGAGTCCCACTTTAACTTGCACACATGAAAACTACATGAAATCTGTTCATTAAGAATCAAGAAATGTCAGCTGAGACGCTGAACTGTGCTTTACATACATACTGTGTGTACTTATTACATATGCAACCTACAATTATGTAGTAACCTTAAAAAAGCAACAGCAGGAAAGTGAGTTGGAGACATTCTTTGGCTCTGCCCTTAGGACTTTGTCTATAAATAACTATCAATGCCAATGTAATGAGTCAGAGTGAAAAGAAAAAAAAGAAATGTGTGTATGTGTAGGCATGCAAAGTAAAGTAAAACTGCAGTACTGATTTATGTTGAACATAACAGACATTTTTAATCTGTAAAGTAGCTGACAAAATATGGCAACAGGTACACTATATGTACAAAAGTACTGGGTCACACCTCTTTGAATTCAGGTGTTTTTGGCCCTAAAACTGTATAAAATCACCTGGCTTGCAATCTGCTTTTACAAATATTTGTGAAAGACTATAGAGCTCAGTGAATTTGAGTGCGTTCTATAATGTGTCACCATTACAACAAGTGAGTTTGTGAAATTTCTGTGGGTGATATTATTGCAAACGTGGAAGTTTTTGGGAACCACAGCAAATGGCAGTCCACACAAAGCTACAGATAAATTGCTTAGTGCGTCTGGCATTAACATCAGCATGAAAACGGTGCACCAATAGCTTCTTCCCACACCGGGTCATCCCGGGACACTTCCTCACTTTTAAGCCGAACAACGTACACGAAATACATACATACATACATACGTACGTACACGGAATTTACATGTAACGTCAACAAGGTAAGTGCACCTGTAATGTAGACATAACATAGACATAATGTACACTTAGATGAAATATACATACATGTACATGTAACATACAGGTAGAAGATAATGTACATGTAATGTCAACGAGATACACGAAAGTGCAACGAAGACATGTCACTGTTCAATTTCAAAATAAAATAAAAACTTAAATCAATTGTTAAGTGGTAACTGTAGCCCTGTCTCAGATCTTTATTTTCTCAGCATTCAAAGGTTTCATGATTTAGTTGATTTAACAGATCAGGTTCTTAACTGATTTTTATCACAATGAGGATAGATGTGTTTGTATTTCAGTAGTTTTAGATCTGCAGAAATCAAAATTCGAACAGTGGATCCTTGAGGATGTGTTCTTTGTTACTCTTTACCTATCTTTAATACAAATGCAGCTCTTTTAAACCAGAATTAGTGCATTGGTGCTTTCAGTTACTGTGCTCCTGTCCTTTGGAACGAGCTGTCTGCTGACGTGAGGTCAAACAGAGCCGTGTCTACATTCAAAAGCAAACTCAGAACCTCTTTATTCTCACAGGCTGATATTTAATCACTGTGTGCCTTTTGTTGATTCCATTGCCTTGAGGCATAGTAGACCTACATAGGTTTTTAGGTTTTATGTTAAGTGTAATGAAATGCGCTATATTAAAAAATTACTGTTGTCACTGCCATTGTTTGCAACAAAGTACAACTCCTCAGTGCTGTATCTCATTTTGATGATGAATTGAAAGTCAGCAACTGGATGAGAGGTGTGTGAGAGAGAGACTAGGAGTGGACTTGGGAGTGGAATTTCCCCAGGAAAACCGTCTCCCAACAGTACAACAAATACAACAGTTTTAACTAGTTGTTGTGAGTCAAAGGAACATCCACAGGAATGGTTTCCAAAAGAACAATGCCTGTTAACGAGATGATCAGTGTTATTTTTAATATTCGCTAAAAATTGCTTTGAAAGGGCTTAATTATGAATCAATAAAGGAATTCAATTTATAGAGAAGCAGTAGTTATAGTTAATCATATCAGTCTTGCATGAATATAGGTATTTTAAAAGGTATTTTATTTACTTTATACATACCATACATTATTTACTTTCTTTATGGCAGCCCTCCTTGTCCAGGAGGATATTTAATGTGTTTACTCTGTATCTACATTGGACACGAGGCTGAATTTTCTTTAGCTTACTCTATAATGTGCAAATAATCTTGTAAAATATTAGCTCCCTTTATTTATTTTTCAGTCACCCAATTGATGGTGCTCAGTCTTTCTGTTACGCCATCACACTTTACAGTTGCCTCTGTGAGCCAATGAAACTGCCTGCATTCAAATTTTTAAATTTTCCTGCAGTTGTTGATGCTGCTTGCTGCAAACCGTTTACCTCAACTAATTACAGTCGGCGTGTCTAATTCTGCAAACCTTGAGGAAATTTCCATTACAAATATTTTATGGAGAGAAAGCTGTTATGAACATGGCGGGGATTATCCCTACATGGGCGTGCACAACAGCAAGCAGACGATCTGGATAATCCCCTCACTGCCGGCAAACTTGAAAGGTAAATGGTAAAACAGTCACAAGTAGTCTGCATTTTTATTTGATGCATGCTTTAATAGAATCAATCTGATTGTTTGGGTAAAAGATTATTGCATGGACTGAAAATACAATTTAACACCCACTGACTCTCTGGAGTATGAGGTGTATTTTTACAACTTGAAATTTGTTTACACAAATATCTAACTAGGAGCTGAGTCGTCAAGAGATAAAAGAGCTCCAATAGTTACATGAAAGTACCGAAAATACTGTACAAAGCTTCGCTGTGGGGACAAGAGCTCACCTTATTTATGGCCCTCTCAGAGTCTGATAGCTTCAAATGTATGCAGAATATTTTATTTTTCAAAAGAATTATGATTGTTTAAAAATGTTGGATCTTTCCAGGAAAGAAAACTGCAAAAACAGGACAAATGAACAAACAAAGAAATCATTAAACATAGACATACAAAGGGGGGAGGCCATGAGAGTACCATGGGAGTGAGTCACAGGGACTGATTTGCTTTTAGAGCAAGCCTCCAGTAGCCACTAGAGTAGTGCATGCGTAAAACAATATAATAACCACAGCCCAACGCGGCTGCTTTTTTCCAAGGATCTCAGTGTACTCTTTGTCCATGTTGAGCATTACAGGACATCTTTAAGTTAACGTTACCAATATTAATTTAAACATATCTTTCTTTCAGTTTATAATTGCAACATCTTTGAAAGGACACGCCCACTGTTCAAAGTCCTTAGATCAGACCGCCTCTTTTCTTTAATTATGTAGACTGGCCTCAGCGTGGACGATATGTGTTAAAGGTAAGGTAAACTGGCTGCTGCTGCTTGTGCACGGACTATTTGGCTTTGTGTGCCGTTTCATACTGAAAAAGCAAGTGAAATCTGCAGAAAACCAGGTGTTGCATGGGATCAATCATAATGAGGCTATGCCAAGGTAAAGTAATGTTTGAAATTTAATCCATGCCAAAGTGAACATGCCATCTTTATTGCATTTATTTTATTTTTATGTTAATATAACTCATACATTTCTGTTGCAGGTTTATTTTGATGCATCAGTGAAAATGGGTATGTGTACATTTTTGCATATCATTAAAAATGAACACGTGAGCAGTAAAGTAAAAAAAAATGAGCAGATTTATGAAGAAACTCACACGGTGACGCCACTCTACTGAACCCTTCTGCATATTGAATCCATTGTATCGTGTCTATTTCAGTCTTTTTCCTTGGGTTAGATTTCAGATATGCATGTGCTACTTCCATGGTTAAATAAACCAAACATCTTACATCTTGTCTGCACTGAAACTTGAGAGGAAGGTTTTTGTTATTGAGGACAAGTGGAAACCAGGTGAAATCCCACACCTGAATCTGACCGGGGTCAGGCCTGATAGGTAACAGGAAGAAAGCTCACTTGTGCTGATTTTTAATTAGAAGTCCTTTTGGTTTGACAGTGTAACTGAGCCCATGTGCAAATCTCTGGGTTCTTGCAGACTATATAGACTATATTCCAGATGACCTAATATGACCCTGGTCAATTTGACCTACTGCAAAAATTTCCCTTAATTAATGTTCATATCAAATTTTGAACTACAGATCTATTTAGAATGTATAAATACCTGACATTAATACATGGATGAAGAATGCTTAATTAATAAGAATTAATGAGGTTTCTCTTTACTATAAACCACTTTATAATCTTATAGTAAATGTATTTTGGGTCACTTAAGGAAAAGTCATCAAATTTCAGGTTAAAAAAAGAAGATTTATGTCATTTTTACAGCTGTCAAACATCAAAATGGGTCAAATTTGTGTGCAAGAATTCCAGAAAACTCCAGAAGTCTTTGAGTGGATTTTTAGCTTTTAAAATCTTTTATTTGAGAGTCCTTCATGGCACAAAATCCAACAGGAAATCATCTGAAGAACCGAACCCAACATCCATTAGTTAACCAGTGTTACATTAGTTAAATAAGTCAATATGGCATAAAAATTGTCATCTTTTTGTCTTCCGTTTTAAATTTTCATTTTTGAAATTACAGACACGATTATTTTGCATCTCCTATTGGTCAATGTGGAGTCGCTTTGAGTATCTTTGTAGCTATTTTGCATCTCTTTGTGGTAACGTTGCCTTTTGTCACAGTCACAGAGGGGCGGGTCAGTACCTGTGCATTATTTCCTGCTTGATTTATTCAGTCTCTCTGTTTCACCTGAAGCTCCATAGTTCCTCACATCCTGCCTCTAAGTAAAAATGTCAATTAGCCTCAAATGCAAGTTTTTCCAAATGTCTGTTTTCTATTTACTAACAGAATTTCAAAATAGTGCTGGAAACATCAACAGCGGTTTGAAAATCAGCAGACCAGCTGATCAACGCCTAACAGCTATACAAATCCCCACAAGTGTGACTACAGCCTCATTTCTGAAGGTAAACTGTTGATCGTATGGGCTATAGACCATTTTTGTCCACTATCATCAGCAAATAATGTGCCCTCATCATAGTCAGAGGACTTTAGAAGCACTGGCAAAAGCATACATTTCTGTTTCTTCTGTAACTTCTGTAACATCCACACCTAAATGTGTTTGCACGTGTGGATTCATATGTTCGGTGTGGATCCCAGTGAAAAGTGATCTCTGCCTGCCTCTTAGCATGCAGCACTAACACCAGCTCAGAGGAAGTATCTGTACAGCATTGCAGCTTCCTATAGCACTGAGCATGTCCGGCGCCTCGTCACCCAGCACTACATGAACGTGCAGTACAGGTGTATACGAGCAGGTGAGAAGAACCAAAACAAAATAAAATAAATACAATTCAGATGTAACTTGTTGTTGTGTGCTATCTCTCTGTTTTTCTAAACTGTTTGTAAACCACTTTCACTGATAAGCATCTGACTTATCCTGTTACAGTCCTTTACAGTGAGTCATTGAGCAACGGCTGAGTAACGGCTTTCACACTGTGGTTTGTTTTGTATATTTGTTTTGTCTTTGTGTAGTCATAGACTACAACCACAAAAGAGACATACTTTTTGAGGCTTCTGTGGCCTCACCTGAGAATGACAGAGAGGATCATCTATCAAAAACACAATCGGAAGTTTCTTCAGGGTCAAAAAACAAGAGCAAGACCAGTGCAAAACATTCTAGAAAACCGTCCCAAAGAACAGAGAAGCCAGGTGAGACGTGAGCTATCAAGTGATAGCTGAAGTTACAATATTTTAAATATCCTAAGGATCATCGCTTTATTTTATCCCACCTTATTTCCCTTTTTAATATGTCCTTCTAACACCCTTACGCCTTACGCATCTGAACTAGTCTGCACATGTAGATAATTATAGTTGTCACGTATGGAGATTTTGAAAGCACTTAACGAGCAGCTCATTTCCATGTTTACTTTTCAGACTTGCAAAGAGTTAAAATGAAAACTTTTTGCCACAATATTTAGCTCATCTTTATATTTTTTAAAATGTAAAATATAAGAACCATCATTTCATGGTAATTTATACTGTAAAGTTCCCAATACATTATAGATAGGAACTCGAGAATCCCAAGCAAACAACTGGCAACAGTGTGGAGAAGAAAAAAAAGAAAATTCCCCTTGGGTTGGAAAGTACCGACTAAGGAAAGCAAAGAGAGAAAAACACTGAGAAAGGGAAAACAAAAAAAGAAAAAACTATTAATTTAAAAAACATAAATAATATTATTTAATGATAAAGAATTCTCAATTCAATTCAGTTTTATTTATATGGTGCAAAATCACAACAGCAGTTGCATCAAAGTGCTTCATATTGTAAGGTTAAGATCTTACAATACAGAGAACTTAAGAAGACTTTATTCAAAATGAGAACATTGAAAATGTTTTTTAAAAAGAAAGAGAAGTCAAAACTTTTAATGTAACATATTTGAAATTGCAGGTCCTTTAATGCATCTGCATCAACACATAGAAAGGCTAAGAAGTGCACATGGTCACAAACACAGAGAAGGAAAAGTCCGAGGAGCAAGTCAGCAAAACATTTGGAATTATTTGGAACTTTCTTCAAAAATGTTATATTTTAGTTTAATTACACCTGTTCAACTGCTCATAAACACAAATACATGGGAATATGCACGCATAAACACGCAAACGGTGCCAAGTCACTGCATTAAGGCACATGGTTAAATAACCTGCTGAAGTTCACACTGAGGCTCAGAATGAGGAAGGAAGGATACTTTTGTAACTTTGAACATGGCATAGTTGTTGGTGACAGATAGGCTGGTATTTCAGAAATGGCTGATCTACTGGGATTTTCCCACACAGGCATCTCTAGGCTTTACAGAGAACGTTTGAAAACGAAAGTCTTCAGTGAGAGGCAAAATGAAAATGCCTTGTTAATGTCAGAGGAGAATGGCCAGACCGATTTAAGCTGATAGGAAGGCAACAGTAACTCACAAATCAGCTTATTTCAATCCAGATATGCAGAAGAGCATCTCTAAATATACAACACATCAAACTTTGAGGCACATGGGCTACAGCAGCAGACTGGGTGACACTCCTGTAGCTAAGAACGGGAAACTGATGGCTCACCAAAATTGGACAATAGAAGACTGACAGATTTTGGAGTATTCAACATGAAAGCATGGCTCCATTCTGCCTTGGATCAACAGTACAGGTAGATGCTAGTGCGAGGATATCATTTTTTCATGTTTTTCTTGGCACACTTTTGGTCTTTAGTACTAGCCAAGCATTGTGTAAATGCCACAGCCTACCTGGGTGTTGTGCATGTCTGACCCTTTATGAGCGCTACATCTCCATGATAGGGTATCATGTTATAAATCATGTCAAACTGGTTTCTTGAACATGAAGATGAGTTCACTCTACTCAAACGGCCTCCACAGTCACCAGATCTCAGTCAAGTAGAGCAATTTTTGTAGTGAGATGGGAGATTTACATCATGGATGTTTAGCAACATGAACCAAAGCTTCTGAGCAATGTTTCCTGCACTTTGTTGAATCTTTGCCACAGAGAATCAACATAATAAGGCAGCCAGTGAGAGTATGCCAGTTACCAAGAATATTATCAACTATCTTATAAATATTCACTTTCTTCTGTAGAGTTAAACATTTCATTTTTCGCCAGGAGCCAGGATCAGACTGTCGGATGAGGAAGAAGAGCAGGGAGGACCAAATGATTCTCTGAGTGAATGTCTGAGCTCCCTCTCTGTGGGAGGATGGGACGGTGACAGCTTATCTGATTTGTGATTCTTTTATAATAATATAGTGACGCTTTCTGCTACTTAAACGCCACAAAATGCAGTTTCCAGTATATATACTGTATATACTGATCAGACACTACTGGTGTTTAAAGGAAAGCTTCAGGAATTTTGAATTGAGATTTTCACTTGCATCTAGAAATTGTTTACAGTTATCTGGATCATGCATTCTTTGTATTTGTTGAAATAAATACTCTGTATGTGAGCTTCTAAATGTACAGCTGTGTCTTAGTTTTGTGTTAAGTTAGAATTCCTCCTTATCAGAATGTGTAACTGTTTTTCTTTTTTCTTTTTTTTAAGCCTATTTAAGCTTTAAACGATGTTTTATGCATCTGCAAGATCAGTTTTTGTAAGACGTAAAGATGAAGTTAATGTAGCGCCCTCTGTGACTGGGGGAAATCCTTTGGAAGACTTGATTTCCATGAAGTCACGTGATCGCTACCGTTAAAGAGAGGAATAATGGGAAGTGCGTGCCTGTGCTGGCGTGCTTAGCGCTTGGTGCTGGCCACAGGCTCATCACGAGCAGATACTGTTTCTTTGGCTGCTTTAAAGAAGAGTTTGCTTTCATTTTTCATTTCCTTGGCTAAATGAAGCCGACTTGGATGTTTTTTTCTTAGTGTTAATGGAAAAAGTAAAGCCTTTTTCCCCCCTTTTTTGCTGCTAACACAGGTTTCCCATTGTTGATATGAAACAGATGTTTTGGGATGCATTAGTTGCATAAGTACCTCTGGAATTCAGGAAAGTTTAAAATCTTCAAATTCTTCACGTGAACTAGTATGGATGAAAACTCTCTGAGAGAGGCATTGATGATATGCTGAGGTCTGATAACTGTATTATTTTTTTTATTTTCACTTAGAATAAAGTCATTGACATCTATGTTCTGCATGTGCAATTCTTAAATGTATATGTTTATAGTTGTGTGTGACTGTCTCTTTTGTTTTATCTGTTTAGGAACTTGTATTTTCACTTTAATAGTCACTGCTATTAATTTCTACTCATCTGTTTTACAGTCCTGTGCAAAAGTCTTTAGCCACCCCATCATTTCTTAATATATTTTGCAAGAAAAGGCAGCTTTCCTGTCATTTCTTTGGTGTTCAGGAATAGTTCTCCGGGCTTCTTCAAGGACATTCAACTCTCGTCTTTGGATGTTGGCTGTTGTTTCTTCTGTTCTCTGCCAAGATGATCTCACACTGCTTCAGTAATGTTCTGGTCTGGGGTTTGGGAAAGGCCAGTCAATGACTGATGGGGGTTTTCTGTCCGGGTATGCTTTTACTGAATTGGCAGCGTTTAGGATTATTGTCCTGCTGAAAAATGAAAGTGCTGCCAATCAGATGCTTTCTAGATTGTTTTAAATGGTGGATTAAAGTCTGATGATACTTTTCTGCTTTCACATTTCTGTTAATTTTCACAAGCGGCTGATTAGAACCAAAAATTTCAGATTTCGACTCACCACACCTTAAGACCTGTTGCCACTGATTTTCAGTCCACTTATTCATCAACTGAAGAGTCTCTAGCCCCGTGTCAGGTCTTTGCTGGATTTTTTTTTTTTTTTTAATTTCTAAAAGATGAGTCATATCCAAAAAATGTATGCTGTAAATAGATTTTTTTAGACCTGCCACTTTTTCTTTTGTCCTCTACTGGTCCAGTTTCCCCAAATTTGTGAAGGCCACACTGCACACTGTGCTGAGATATGCCAAGTTTTTAGCTGATAGCTTTTTACGAATCACATTCTTTCGTGCAAAAATACTATTTCATGTCTGTCAGACTGCTTTCTTGGGCATTTTTCATAGATTTGCCAAGTTGTCTGTTATGTGCAGAGACAACACTGGTTCATCACTTGAGTTAGGGGCCTTTTTTAAACTATTATTTAAGGTAACCTGAAACCTAATGTATCCTGCTTATGTTTGCCATGGCCCCGCCAATAATGTTATTATGTGGTTCAAAGACATTTTAATAATCATTTCCACCTTTTTGTAATCATGATTTGTACCAGGTGTGTTATTTAATGGGGGCATAACTATTTTTATTTAGACAATACTATAATATATGCAAAGATGATCATAATTCCCTCATGGCAAAAAATCAATGCTTTGCAATTTTCAGAGAAGCAAACAGCTTTGAGTATAAAAGAGCGATGTACACCAAGCCAGACAGAGGCTTAAACATTTCAGTAGCCTGAAATCAGGAACAGGGAGGCTTTTTCTGTCTGTGTGGTATCACAAAGCTCCAGTATTATGTGCATTGATACTTAGGGGGATTTCTTTTTCAAATAAGCACGTTGCGTTATCCTCAAATTTTTCAAGACAGAAGAGTAAAAGTATAAATAAATTTGAATTTCCCAAATGAAATATCAAAACACTATTTACGCACAGCTATTACTGCTGTCAATATAATTTAACACACAGCAACAGATGGAGTGAAATTACATCTTTATTGTGGGAAAGAAATGAATAAAAGGAGGCTAACTACAGGAAGCAATGGCCTGTTACATGTACAGGATGTGAGGAGGGTGTTTATTAAAACAACAACAAAAAAACCCAAAGGAAAAAAAAATGGCACCCAATATTATTGCATTCTCTACAGTTACCAAAAGACAGCTCAGGTATAAGCAAATGCTGATGACATATAAACAATATAATACACAGGTCTTTTAGAGTTAACTTACAGAAGTCATAGCATTAACACTCTGGTGACTCTGAGGGAGCTGCCGCCCCCTGGTGGACAGGAATGAAATATAATCTGAGGCTTGTTAATGCAAATTTTTCTCCATCTCTTTGTGCTCTCCTTTAAGATTTCTTGTACTCAATTCGCTCCACCTTGACGTCATCGCCGATCAGCTGATAAACGTACGTGACCACTGTAGATGCCTGGATGTCCATTAATACAAAAGAGGGGATGATGTTGCTGTGAGAGAGAAAAAAAACAGATGCATTTCTTTAATTACACCCAGTTTAATGAAAAAACCTTTAACTGCAAACACCTCAGTATTAAAAACATCCACAACAGTGTTTCTTTCCTAGAAGATCTGTGTTAAACGTAAATGCTTTGAGCGGGATTTACAGAATTTCAGTTGCTGCCATTACGTCTGTGTGGATGAGAAAATTCAGAGACAAATATCTAAAGACCTCAAACATCAATCCAGAACTATCTGCATGGAGTTCTATTATGCGACATGAGCAAAAATCTGTTTTTGTTATAATGTGGGAAAACTAGTTCATGTTAAAAGATGCCATAATTTGGCTTGAAGCAATCAGTTTTCTTAGTTGCTGATGATCAGTTCTCCAATTAGAATCAGTTATCAAAATATGAAATTGTTCCAAATATTCTACTACTTTGCACATCAGAAAGAGCATTTTTCATTATTTTTAGGCATAACTAAAATATGATATTTCACTGTGAAAATAATCTCAAACACACCAACCAAACTAACTGTCAAAATGTCTTTTTGCAATGACAAGGAAAACAGGGCATCTTAATATACTGAAATTCTGTCAGCTTGGTTCAATATGTAGAGCCTCCAGTCTGGTTCACATGCTAAAGTGTCTTCGGGAAAGATACTGAAGCCTGATGAATCCACTGGAGTGTGAGTGTGTGCGTGAAAGTTACAACGTGCTTGGGTGTCTGAGTGCACAGCTAAGAGCAGTAAAACACTGTACAAGTGCAGAGCATGTTTTACTTTTTTTTACTTGGTTGTTGCAGGGACAGTGACGGGTTGCCCAGTGACTCTCAACACTTTTTTTACTGCAGTATAAGATCACCCGTGTTTTTTCCACAGTACATGTCGAGTAGTATATTGCTGTGTACTTGTTCTATGCAGGGCTATGAGAATTTAATGTCTATAAGTATGTCTTATACAGTGCTCTTTTACTCTACTTGAGCACTCAAGTAGAAATGTAACTGCTTTCTATCTAATATTCACATTTCAATAAGAGAAACTCTGGGTTCAGTATCTTGCACCTAGATACTGATACTTTCGCTGAAGCAGCCAGGGTTCAAACCACCAACCTTCCAATGTCAAAATCATGAAAACATGGCTAACTCGCCTCCTAAATAGAGCTCAATTCATGGTTTATATTGGCTCCCACCTTTCCAGGGCGCTGTAGGCTCCAGTTGCAGAACCAGGGTTTATGTAAAACTTATTTTCATTCTCAAATGCCTCAAACTTGTGTGTGTGCCCAGAGATAAGGATGTCAACGTCAAGTTGTCTCTGGAGGAGTGCCAGGCTGGCCATGTCGCCCCAGGGGATCACTTGATGGCCGTGGATGAGTCCAATCTTAAACTGGCCCACTGTGACCACCTTCTGCTCTGGGTAGTTCAGGTTCTGAGAAAATATCAGGAGGACAAATGAGAGATGGGAAAAACATGGAGTAAAGTAAGTTTTATACACTGCTTTTATCTGACAAGTCCAATTATGGAATAAAGTACTAATTATACACACATTTAAAACAGACAGCAAATGGCAGAATGAGCTATATTTAAAAGATGTCGTGTCCTCAATGGGATCATTTTTGAAAATCATGATCTACATGGATAAATCTCAGTTTGAGAGAACAGCAATTACAATTTAATTACAGAGCAATCAGTCTTTAGGAACAGCAAATGATGTTCTTCATCAGTGCTATTAATATGCAGAAACACAATTTGTAGACATAATTTGAACCCTGTTTTTGAACATTCTTTGAAATAAAATTGTTTTATGGTGATTAGTATGTTCTACGTGGTTTATTTTATTGTTCACACACACAGACGCAAACCTCATCAAAGTCTCCTCTGACGATGTGGACGTCCCCAGCGAGGGTTTTCAGGTAGTCATAGCTCTCCTTGGTGCAGAGGTTCCCTGTGCAGAGAATGTGCTGGATCTTCCCCGGCACTAACAGTTTTTTGAACTTGGCTGGCAACGTGTTGCATCGGTGAGGGATGTGCAGGTCACCTAACACCAGGACCAACTGATATCATCGCACAGACACACACAGACAGGTTAGTTACCCACCGATGAGCTCTCTGCCATAGCTGAGCATTTCATTTTCCCAGTGGGCCAGATTAGAAAATGGGACAGCTGAGAAGGGGCGCACCAATAAGCTTATAAAGAGATAAAATTCATATTGAGCAGAGCCGAGTTCAGCTTATTGGTGTGGCACAACAATCCCAATTTCTCATGTGGTCCCTTGAAAAGAAATTTATGCCCCATCCCTGCTACAGCCTGCATGCTGCAGCATAAGAATACAGAAAGGGGAAGTGGGCCGAGGACAGAGCCCTGCGGGACGCCACTGGTCAATTCTGCAGGAGAGAATAATGCAAACAGATTCCACCATAACCGCTACACTCCTCTGTTAGTTATTGTTAAATTCTCCTGTACTTTTTTCAGAACAGTTTAATATTATTGCACAGATTAATTTAGTACAGTGGATAAACAGGTTTCACTCAAAAAGCTCAAATCTGGGGAAAAAAAGCAACAGTTGTGAGTAAAGATCTGACTAAATTGAGTGTCTGAGTCCAAACTGGGCATTGTCCAGATTGAAAACCTATTTTTATTCCCTGGCTTTTAACTCTGTAGGAAACTGACACCTTCTTATTTATTTTATTGTATGTAATGATTTTAAGGTATTTTTAATTTGGTAGTTGTTTTGATCTGTGTTGTTCAGCACTTTGGTCTGCCTGGTGTGTTCTTAAAGTGCTATACAAATAAACGACGATGATGATGATGATTGTGAAAGTAACTTTCGACACAACTGGAAGACAGCCCACGGCAGAAAAATATGGTTTGAATTGGCACAGCTGGATTTCAGACGCTCAATGGCAGATAAAAGAGGTAGTTATGTTTTTACACTGCACCAAGAGTCTATGAGAAACAAACACCATTAAAACCGGGAGTTTATATTAAACATTAAACCTACAAATATTTTTAACTACTAGCCAGCACAGAAATTCTGAGCAATGGCTGTGATCGTATGTGATGACTTGGGTAGAAAAAAAAGAAAAGTCTGAATTCAACTGGTGAACATTAAGACAAACCAGGACTGATGCACAAAAGTATGTTAGACCATGTTCAAAATTTTATATTACAATATTACACTTGATCTGAATTTGTGCAATCATGTTATCTTCTGTCCTAGTAAAGACCAGTTTACCCTCTCTAAAAACAGATGAATCCCCCCCCCCCCCCCACAAAAAAGAAAAGATAATATAATTTAGTAGTTTAGACTTTGAAACATCTTTAGCTTCCTGCTGTGTTACGTTTAGTGGATTTCTTGTAACTGATTAGTGTCTTATTAATATTGCTTAGGCAACAGTTCAGTGCACTGCAGTTGCTATAGGAGCAGCAGCTACTTGTGCAAGAGATGCAGAAACAGCAGACCTCTGGGGCCGTGCAATCCCAGTCCCATGTTAGTGAGCCAGGCAGAGGAGCGATCAGAAAACAGGGATCCAGGACAGAGCGGGAACACTTACCCGGTGACCAGCCTGGTTGTTTGGAGACAGGCAAAAAAGGCAGAGTGCGGTGGTGGGGTGAGATAGAGAGGAAGGCATGATGTGCGTGGAGAGATCAACATGAGGCGTGATCAGAGATTGATGTAAAGAAATACAAAAACAAAATTTTAAAAATGAAAATAAAGACAAGAAACAGTGGGGACAAGAAGGGGAAACTGAAATTAGAAATTAAAAAGTGAATGGATTAAGTAGACAGATATTAATCATTCAAACAAACCAAAAAAAAAAAAAGGTTAAAACAACAATGTGGTTGAAACAGTTGTTAATGGTCGATGGTTAGTGATAATCATTAAGCAAAACATATTGTAGTCGCCTGACAGTGAGCAAATGAAAAATAATGCGGTGAAGCAAATTAAATAGATGGCTGCAATTAAGCTCTGATGAATCGTCTAGTGTCGAAGTATTTGTGTTTATAAATATGTCGAACTACAGAACCTGGAAATTATAAAACATAACAAAATGAATGTAGTCCTATGAGTTGTAGTTCCAAAGTAGCAACAGTCTTGTTTAGCTGGGTTATTAAATAAATAAATTTTAAAAATGACTGCTCATGTGCGGGCTGCTAGCTGGATGATAAACATTAAAGCAGACCAGGAAAGTGCTTCGTAAAATCGTAAGATGAAGTGTTAGCTCTATTAGCTCCGGAAGCTAACTCATTGACAAAAAGGGAAAAGTAAAAGAAGTCGTTATATCCATCAAACACATAACAAAATGATTCACGAACAAGCAAGACACACTGGGAGCCCGCTGTGCAATGGAAATGTGTGACTTTATGGGTGTTTGCAGTTTGTTCCGGTGAATTTTGGAGACTAAATTGCTCAACTGTCATGTGATCCGTTGATCCATCTCGGAACTGAGCTTTAATGCAACACAGCCTGAAACTGAAGCCATGATCACGGTCCCTTTACGTCGACAGCTAGTTTCATAAAAAGTCGAGCGCTCGATACACCGAATGAAAACGTGAGAACCCGTGGCCTTTTCGCCATTTCATACTCACCATCTTCAATGTTTCGGCTTGCAGGCAGTCAAGTTGAGGAAGCGCCTACGCACGTACAGCGTCACGACGTCAGCCAATGGGGAACGAGGATGTGTCAATAGAAGCTTATTGTTTCCTTTTCCTTTCAAAATAAAACAGCTAAAGTATGGAGGAATTGAGAGAAGTAACAGTTGCAGTCTGGCATTGAAAGAAAAATCAGGTGGCTAAAACGATTTTATGCCTCTATTTCTAATTCGTTTGTTTAAAACCTAAAGGATGGGGTTTTCCCCTAAATTTTCTAAGTTCATGTTTCGCATACACATGGAGTGCGACTTCAGCAGACTTTTAATTTAAAATTAATGCTGAGACCCGGATATTGCTAAACTTATTGCAGCTGTTAGCTTGACGTTCGTTGGTAAAAGCGACGAGTGTAGCAGCATTTCGCAGAACATTCGAGAGGTAGGTCCGAAATTATTTCATCACATTTACATGGTCTCATCCTAACGACGATTTCACAGCGATGACTGTAATTTTACAAAGAAATAGCTGCTAGCTACCACCGAGGACAATTTTAATCACGTTATCTTCCGTCAACCGCGTTGATTGGACTTGGCTAATAACTGCGTTAGCTGTGTGACGTCCACTCGTTTCATTTTAACGCATGGGATCTGACTATTTACTGGCCCTCAAGCTACTGTTTTCGCATCGGATAATGCTAACAATGAAGGTCAATTTGAAGGTACAAATTAGTGGATTAACTCTAATTGTCCCGCTTTCATTGTTATATCTATAAGATAATTTATGGGGAATTTTACTGCGTAACACGTGCAATGTTAACCATAGCCAGTTAGCTGGCTGACGTTATCTTTTCACGGTGTGGCACTATCGCTAACGGGGGTAAATCGCTAACGGGGGTAATGGAGCGTTTAATCCTCGTGGCAGTTATGCTGTACGTGACTATTCAAATACCCACCCAGTGAACACAGATGGCTGTCTCGCTCGACATAAACAGTTTACTTCGCAGTTTGTGTGAATAACGAAACTATCTCTCCCCCCCCACCCCCAGGTCCCCAAAGCCCGAGGACGTTCCAGATAACCTCCTTCTGCCTTTGAGGAAGAGCAGCCGCACTTTGGATATTTATGGTCTTTAACCGTGCCTCTTTGAGAGCATCAAAATCATTAAGAAACCCTGTTGCAGTCAATAACATCAACCAGCACCAGGCATCGACCACCGTTCACTGCGGCTCTTGGAAGATCAGCGTTGTGTTTATGTCTTTGTTTTGCGAAAACGGTAAGTTTTTGGACGCAATCTACGATTTATTTCAACTTTCTTGCGCGATATTTGGTGTCGTGTTATGTGTTTGTCAAAGCTAACGCTTTAGTCAGCGTTATTGAGCAATATGACACGATTTCTGTGCCACTGTATCAAAATGGCGTCTTCCAGTCCGTCACTCGTGTGCAGTGACTGTATGACGCACTCTGCACCAAGCTGCTAAGCTAGTTAGCTAGCCTCCTCCTGAAATAGGCTCGACCTCTGCCCTTCTCAAAGATCTTAAAATCGGACACCACTGTGTCAGTCGCAAACAAGTTGGGAGGCATTTCATTGAGACTCGCACTTGCGTGTGTGAGACAATAACTGCTGCAGACTTTGTTGTTGATATTAAAACCATCAGCGGGGGGAGTTGTTTGGCAGCTGCTAGGCCTCCCTGTTTGTGACCTAGTAAAAAAGTGCCTTATATGACTAAAGCCAGGGGCCCTCATGTAAGACAAAGGGTGTCCACAAAGCTCTTTTTTTGTGCATTATATGGCAACAAAAGGTGGGAGAAACATCCAGATTTGTGGCAGAGCTTTTATTTTTCTTTGGGCCCACGTCATGCTTGCTCACTGTTGGATCACATGATTATGATTTGGATTTGCTGGGATATTTTCAGTCTTGACCCATTTTTGTGGGAATTCCTGTTAAATTGAGAAAATGATTTGAATAAGTCGTCTCTGGGAGCCACTGGGTCCTCGATTGCCTCTCCCTCTGGCTTGGATCTGTGTCGTAATGGAGTCTGGTCTTTCTTAATAGTGGCAGTCACTCAAGAGCAGGCCTGCACCACAGGAATCTTTAACTGTTTTCTTGTGGATTAGATGCTACCAAGGCTACAAACCACTGGGTTCACAAAATGAACTAGGCTGCATCTTATTGTTGTCATCATGGTACCTTTTCTCAGTTGGATGGTATATAAACTGACAGTGGTGAAAAGATGTTTATTTTACATGATAAGTCATCTGAAATGTAATATTTGCACTGCTGTCTTTATGCAATTGCAGCAGTCATCAAGTTGTTACTTTGTAGAACTAGAATATAAACAAACTCCTCCAGAGACTAGATGGTTAACCAAGTTCTGTAAAGACAGACTAGAAGTGTAACATGAGTGCATGTCTACAAATCTGGGGGGGGGGCAAAACCCTGTATTTGCACCCAATGTAGGATTGCAACACCCACATGAACTGTGGGGTTTCCTTATTAAATATTGATGTTTGTCCCTCTCGTCTTTCAGAGCTGTTGCGCAGCCGTTGGAACCTGTGTGGTGGAAATCTAGACTTCAAGCAAGGAGCTTGCAGCCACAGCGGCACAGCGTTTTTCATGTCAGAGACCGAGCACGCTTGCAGTCGTTTATGTCATCCCCTCTTTTCCAGACAGAAGATCCCGAAAAATCCCCAACCAAGATCCTTTTATCTTACTGATAGTGCTAACATCCAGCCAAAATGTCTGTCAACGTCAACCGCAGCGTGTCAGACCAGTTCTATCGCTACAAGATGCCCCGTCTGATTGCCAAGGTAACCACTCATTATTGTTTTTTTTAGATTTGTCCATTGGGGAGAGAAAAACAGCATCAGAATAGTGGTTGGAATTGGTCTAAAGTTTCCTGAGTCCTGTAGGAAGAAATGTTTGGGTGTGAATATAACATGTGGGTTTTTCCTTTCAATCCAGGTTGAAGGCAAAGGGAATGGAATCAAGACGGTCATTGTCAACATGGTTGATGTTGCAAAGGCTCTGAACAGGCCTCCAACATGTGAGTAACAACATGTAAATCTTAGTGTTTAGCTGGAATTGAACTAGAGCTTGTTAAAGTCTGTTTATTTTCACAATGACATTTTTGACGTTTTGACTGTCACTTTTATATTCTCTCATTTTTCTCTTTTGAATTCATCGTTGTAATATTCACCCCAGGTGAAGGAGAGATGTTTTGTTTATAGAATTCTTTAAACATGATGATGTGGCAATTACTCAAATGAAATGACCCCGTTCGATTGAGACTGTAAGATGTGCCGGCACATTAGGGGGGGGAAAGGCTGTTTGGCTTGGTCGACAAGTTTGTGTACTCTTGACATTTTTCGTTTACACAATTTTGTAGTTGGAGTATTTGATGATCAAGCTTAAATGTCTGTCATGTTCATTACCAGTTTAAAAGCAAACAAACGCCTAATGTTTAACATCTTCCTTTAAAGATAAAAAAAACAGTAACGTTCTTCAAAACCAATAATTACCAGGGCAAAGTCTCCTCGTTTTGTTTTTTTTTTTTTTTTTTGCTGGGTCATGGTGGCCTCATGTGCTGCTTTTCCTCTCCTCCGCAGACCCGACCAAGTTTTTTGGTTGTGAACTCGGCGCTCAGACCCAGTTTGATACCAAAAACGATCGTTACATCGTCAACGGATCCCACGAGGCGAACAAGTTGCAGGACATGCTTGATGGGTTCATCAGAAAATTTGTGCTGTGTGCCGAGTGTGACAACCCTGAAACTGATCTGGTAAATATTTCACAGCATCTCCGGGGCAGGTGCAGAGTATTTATTTGTTTTTTTGTGGGTGGGCGACAGAAAGGGAAAGAACAAAGTAATAATTTAATACAACTATATGACTTAATGATGATAATGTGTCCCCTTTTATTGGCTATTATGACCCGAAATTTTTTTCATTTATTTCCTTTGTGTTTACAGCACCTTGTGACTATGAAAATCACGTGGTTAATAAATAAATATTAAATTACTAAATAAAGATACTTCCCACTTTAGATTCAGTATAAGAAAAGTTGCCTGTGTAAAGAAGAGTACTAGATTGTGTGGCAGTTTTTTAGGTACAAAATAATTTATTTTTTTGTCCTTGCAGCATGTCAATCCCAAGAAACAAACTATTGGTACTTCCTGTAAGGCCTGTGGATACCGCGGCATGCTAGACACCAGACACAAACTCTGCACATTCATCCTCAAAAACCCACCTGGTGAGACTTTTTTTTTTTTTCTCTCTGTGGTGAATCCAGAAAAGGGAACTGCAGCCAAAACCCCAAGACAGACTTGCTAATGAAGACTTTTGTCTTTCCTAACACAGAGAGCAATGATAGTGGATCTGCATCTGTGAAGAAAGAGAAGGAGAAGAAGAACCGCAAGAAGGACAAGGAGAACGGCTCTGGCAGTGGCGAGGCTGGAAACCATGACAACTTTGATGCTCCCGAGGCTGTGGTGCGTCTGCTGTGCTCCCAGACACCCGCTGGGCTTCTACAGCCACGGGACACTAGCACAAAACGTTTCTCTTCACTTCACACACGGTTTTCTCAGACACCATTGAAGTCAGTAGTAGTCAGCAAAGTGCCAGCTTTTATTTTAGACACTAATGCCACACAGTCTAGTGGCTTTTGAGTAGAGATTCAGGGGTCTTCTCGTGCTCGTATGCTGTTTTTATTTTGGTGTAAATTGTAACTTTTCCCCGATGACCCTTACTCTGAAAAGTTCTCAGCAACCAACCCCATCAAAATAAGAAGCTCAGAGTTGACAGTTTGCTCAGGTTTGATGCTTGGTAGTGATTTGTGGTGCAGATTTCCTAGTGAAGCATCAGTGTTGTAGAACTGTTCAAACTCCTTAGTATTCACAATTCATGATATGTATCCCACATTTCCCCCTTCACAGGAATGGTAATAATGATTAAGGTCCACACTGACACATGTGTTGTGAAACATTCTTTGTAATGGATTTTTCACTGAAAGGGTGGGGCCGTCACCCAAAGACCTCCAAAAAGAGTTTGCGTTTGCATAAAAAGGGAGTCTAGCAACTTCCACGTTTGCAGTATACGTGTCCTCGAAGCTCTCAACCGGAACCACTTCCTCCAGTTCAAATGAAAGAGTTTCTCTTTAGACTGAGTTTACATCAGCAATTTCTTTCTTTTTTTTTTCTTCTTTTTTTTTAATGCAATTTTTTTGGGGGGGTTCTGGTTGAATTTAATTTTCTTTTTCTATTATTATTATTACTATTATTGGCTGCACAGCCCTCTTTTGCATTTCACCATAATATGACCCACTAAGATGCAAAATCCAAGCAAGCCCGAGTGTTTCTGCACCATCTCGCTTTGCCTGAATCCTCTGTGGTTTCCTGTTTAGGATCGAGATGACGATGATGAAGACTGGGCAGAGGAGACTACAGAGGAGGCACAGAGGCGGAGGATGGAGGAGATCAGCGATCACGCCAAGAACCTGACGCTCAGCGAGGACCTGGAGAAACCCCTGGAGGATAGGGTCAACCTCTTCTACAGCTTTGTGAAAGTAAGGGTCCCCCGATTGTCCTGAATTTTTCTCGGCAGGAGTTTGTGAAACATCAAAAGTACACTTTAAAAATGAAGAACCGGTGTTCGGTGCTTGGCCTTTACGCATAGATTTTATTTGCACACACAAGAATTGGAGATACTTTAGTTCCTCCCCTGTAACCATTTGTTCTTTAAATGTGCAGAACAAAAAGGAAAGCGGAACGATTGACGCAGCTGATAAAGAGATCTTGGCGGAGGCAGAGCGCCTGGATGTGAAGGCCATGGGCCCGCTCATCCTGAGCGAACTGCTGTTCAACGAAAACATCCGTGACCAGATCAAGAAGTACAAACGTCACTTCCTGCGTGTAAGTCATTTTCAAGTCTGTGCTGCGTGTCCTTATGGTGCTGTCTTGTCCTCTTCCTCACATTAGGGTGTGTTTCACATGTCTCATGGCTTTCCTAACCTTTTCCTTAGTTCTGCCACAACAACAAGAAAGCCCAGAAGTATCTGCTGGGAGGTTTTGAGTGTGTCGTGAAGCTGCATCAGGTCCAGCTCCTGCCACGTGTTCCCATCATCCTCAAAGACCTGTACGACGCTGACCTGCTGGAGGAGGACGTGATTTTCGCCTGGGCAGAGAAGGTGAGGGACTTAACTACTAATGTCAAGTTAAACTCTGTGTTCTGAATCACAAAAAGAAATGCCTGCTGAACTTGATCCCATTTTGCCCAGAAATTAAAAGCCTAAAGGTGATCTGGGAGCAGATGGTAGTTAATCGTTACCCCATGAATCGGTTATGAGCACTCACTGATAGATCTTTAAAAGGGAAATGGCAAATTAAATTAGATTTAGGCTTATTCTTTGCAGCACAGAGCCTTCGTTAGAGTAACAAACAATAAAAATCTAAACTGTATTCTACTGAAAGCTGGTATTTGTTAAATTGGTGAAATTAGAGCTTGTCTTATACCCTGACTCTGAAAGACTGAAATGCTTCAGGGGACACTTGGATAAACCTCCAACCTCAGAAACTGTAGCACTGAGCCACTAAAAACACCTAACAGACTGCAGTATGCAGAGGTGTCAGTCGTCATATCAAACCTCTCTGGTAATATTGATGATTGGAGTAGCGTGAGGAAGAGGTGGTTGGAATCTGTTTGAACAGATTCATTCTGCAAATGAAACGACATGAGCTCTAATATGTGTCTGGTTCCAGGTCCTTAGCTGCAGGAGTACGACTATATTAAGCTGAAAGTATAATGCTGCCAAAAAGTTGAGGTCAAGAGCTTTTAGGACATTAATACATCAAACAGCAGGAAGTGCAGTGGACTAGGGCCGCCTTTGACAAAGAATGAATTCACACTTCCCGTGTGTGTGTGTGTGTGTGTGTGTGTGAGCCCAAACTAGTCTGTTTTGTTACACCAGTCTGACCATACATTGACTCCCCATCTCCCACCACAAGTGGGGAGTGAGAGTGACACACCTAACCTGCACTGCATAACAAAAGCAGAGTGTTGGGCTCAACACATCCTTTCAGACAGTGTTACACCAAAGAAAGCCTAAAAAGGCCACTAACAAAGAAATGTAAGACCTGGTCTTTTTAAAGGGGCTTTGTGTGTGGGCTGAGATTCGGGTGCACTATTGAGGCCCCTAATAGTTGTAAGTTTTGTGTGTGGCATATTTTAAATGCAATCAAGCTGGTTTAGGAATGAATAGACACAGCTGAGAGCAAATTGAATTGTAATCAATTCAAAATGTGTGAATTAAATATATTAAACAAAGAAGTGGAGGAATAGGTATAAAGATAAAAAAGTGCTATTAATAAATACAGAATTACTTGAGTTTTGCTAAGTCTTTACGTCCTGAAAATTTGAGCTAGATTTCCCTTAACTGTGACTTTTGTTACGGTATTTTATTTACTTTGGATACACATTAACTGTTAGATGCTAAATACTGCAACAGCAGCATGAAGACTACAGTTCAAATAACCCCAAGGGCTTGTTTATTTGAGGTCTTTTACACTGAAATCAGTCATTGCATTAAATCCATTTTCTTCTTCATCAGGTTTCTAAGAAGTACGTCTCCAAGGAACTTGCCAAAGAGATCCATGCCAAGGCCGCTCCTTTTGTCAAATGGCTGAAGGAGGCAGAGGAGGAGAGCGAGGGTAGCGAAGAAGAGGAGGAGGAAGATGATGAGAATGTTGAGGTAGAGTTATCTGAAGTGGTCACTTGGCTGTGTGCCGTGAAGTACAGTTAAAAAAAAAACAGCTGTAGTTCAGGAGTTACTGAGAACGTCCAGATTAAAGCAAAAATTAATCGCGTCATTGTCACAACTGCTTCCAGCTGCCACATGTAGTCAGAGTGTGCATTATGGATATAGGTGTGTATATAAGTGAGTGCATTTACTTGTATACTTATATCCATATATGCATGCATGCACTCACACCAGTCTGTCAGCCTGCTCAGGTGTGCTGCATCATTAACTGGGTCAGCTCCACCCACTAGTTCCTGGAAGAATTAGGAATAACATTTCTAACAAGGAAGCTGCACCCCGAAAGGAGGAAGCACAAAGAGGCCAGTCCTGTGACTATTGCGTCACTCAGTTTAAAATGGATGCCGACTTTTAGTGGCTTTTTGTTTGTTTTTTGTTTTGCTCTGTACGAATATAAAAACTGCAATTTAGTATGAAAATCAAATCACTTTAATACCTGTAGCCTATACTTGGAGACTGAGTATGAAACCTGCATAAAATTCCAATATTCCGTTTCACCGGCTGACCACCGGGTGACTCCGGTCTACTGACACCTCGCTCGTTAGCAGCTTGAAAGTCAATTTTTAAAAATGACAGTAAGCATGAAGGTTAGAGTTGCACTAATTTTTAAAATGCGACAGATTTGTTTCTGTTGTGAGAGGACTGATGCTGATGCAGTCGGGGGTGTTTATTGAGCAGCTGCATGTTTTCCTGTCCTCAGGTGGTGTACTCGTCCTCTGCCCGCGAGCTCAAAGTGGAGACTGTGAAACCAGACACGCCAGAGAAAGAAGAGGACGACATTGACATCGATGCGATCTGAGAGACTCGAGTGATGATGCTTTTCCTGACTTGCGGCTTTGACTCACGATGCCCTGCACTAGCTAAATGGCTGGCCTTTTCCCTCCTTTACTACCTGTCCCACCACCAGCCCTCTCTGCGATCCCTTCTCCGCTTAGTGGCATGATTTAACATAGCGCTTTATCTGCTGCACATTAACGCTGTCATTTTGAAGTGTATTCAGTTGATGAAATGAAGTCTCTTTTGGGGGTTTTAATCACGGGTGATTTGGGAATTTTGTTTTGACTGCACTTTTTTTTTTTTTTTCTTCTTTTGGTCCTTGTATTTTTCCAGTCAATAAAGAATGAATGTTTTGCTATCCAGCACATTTGACTGTTTCATCTGTGAGATTGGACAGTTTTTCTCTGGTAGGTGATTAACAGAGAATCTGAGGGGAAACCTCTTCCCTTAAATGTTGTGCTGTGAAGCCAGATGTTTTCTATATCATAAATAAAATAACATAATTGTTAAATCATTAAAAAAAAAAAGATGATCAGATTCATCTTCAGAGCATGATGGTGTGTTTTTAAAAATCTGCACTGCAGCTCTGTGAGGGAGGGAAAATATGCATGTGTCCATGTTTTGTAATAGGAAACCAAAGTTCAAACAACACTAGATCAACTATCTGTAACGCCACTGGTCGTACTAAACTAAACATACACGTTCGCCTCATGTTACAGAAAGAGACCTGGAAACTGACTGAGAATTAATTTGCAAAGTAAGGAACCCAAATGGCAGTTTCACATAAAACTTAGTCTATTTTTGAGATAAAAAGCCAGAATGTAACTAATGTGGTTTTTAATCCAGTTATACTGAGCTTTGTTTTATACCACTCTTCCTCATCTCACATTGAAATAGAACTTTGAATAAGGTGACATTGGTGATGGTGTTATATTTGCGACTGGTTTACTTAAAACACTGGTAAGAACAACTGTTGCTAGGCTGAAAAACCTGCAGACGGATGCTTTGTAAAACGAAAACTCCTTCATTACACTTGGCAGCTCTACTGTTTATTCAGTTTTACTGATTTAGAGCTGCATGTCACGGACAAACTTATTATATTGCACTTTTCCAGCAGTGGAAACGGTGAACTTATTAGCTCAAACTTAAACTGTGGTGTAGAAATTCACAGCCTAGAAATCCAAAAGGTATATCTACGACCTGTAAATGTTGTATCCTGTATGAAACCTATAAGACTTTGTGTAAAAAAACAAAAAAACAAAAAGATACTAGCGACCTTTAAAGCTCTCATTTATTCGAATTGAATTCGAAGAATAAAAGGATGGTGTTGATATTCTTTTCTGTCTCGCTAATATTTGACAAAGGCGCACAACTGTTTTCCTTTGAAGCTCACTAAATTCCCATTTCCTCCCGACTGATGACAGGCCTCTCTGTACTTGTGGTCCTGTGGGACTGAGGTCAGTCGGTTTCCTCACTTCCTCCACCCGTTCAACTGGACACAGTCGTGCTGCCTTCAGGTGCTTTGGGAAATAAGATACTCACATTCCATCACAAACAAATCTCTGAATTCGACATTAAACCCAAAACGGGGAACTTGGCGTCGTCTTAGTGTATGGAATCAAACATGAAAATAAGCAAGGCTTAGAAAAACAACTCCTTATTGTCTAAGGCATTTAACCCTAAATCCCTCCGCAGTTTAATTTTGAAACATCCAGTCCGACCTACAAAAATATAACTAAGCAGTAACACCTACCATATGTAATGTGTCTATTTGTAGAATGTAAACTGATTCTAATGTTTTTAAACTACCACACACACAAACACGTCAGAAACATTTATAAATGTAGCTGTTATTTAAAAAACAACTAGTATTTGTAACGCAATTTCTGATTGCTACAGTTGAGTTGTAGTACTAGAAAACACACTGTGTTTTATAAGGATAATTAATACATTTTGATGTTGGTCAAATAATAATAACTTTGCAGAGAGACTGAAAATAATCAACAAAATATTTATTAATAAAAGCAATTTAACTGCAGGCTAAATCCTATGACAATCTCTTACTTTTTATTAAGCTTGTTAAGTAGTATATTGCACACAAAAGCTTCAATCTTATTCCTAAGAGAAAAAATATTTTCTTTGATCTTTCTTGAATCACCCAGTCGAACAAAGAAATGCCATTATTAGGTCGGTTGACCGACATTTTAGAATAATTTCTAATGTCGGAGCTCAGTTGGTGTCCGTGAAGGCAGCATAATCCAGCCCAGCCGCTGAGTAGCCATTTTGGTCCCACCTAAAACAGACAGACCCGCTTCACTTTGGGCCGCCGGAGATGGAAGAAACCGAGCCGACGACGAGTATTTCAGCTACCTGAATCTTTTGAATCACTCCGAGAATTATCCAGAGGTGACACTCGACGCCATGGCACGGTTCTAGACAGAGTGGTTTTGTGGAAGAAAAGCCTGTGGCGATTTTTGGAAGTGGCGACCGACAGCGCCTTAACGTTATTATAGTTAGCTCCAGTGACTCAAACCTAAACGGACAGACGGACACTGATTTCGTTTCCCTGCCGAGTTTAGCACAGGCCATGCACGGTTTGTACACGCCGTGTAAATGCTGTAAGAGGGATTGTTATGCTCTTTAGTGAGGGTTTTTCCTGCCCATAGCTGTTCAGGTGCTCGACTCTAACACGTCCGGTCTCGTTTGAAAATTGTCACGATCCATGCTGAGACTGTTTCTCCGGAGGAAGCCGAAAAGCAAAGCAATAATTTCATTCTTCGGCTGTCGGGCTGAAGACTGTGTATTTTGGACTTAAAACGGCGACTGGCTGAGGAAGAAGGAATAAAAGATGTCAACAAAAACTCCTTTACCTACAGTCAACGAGAAGGTGACGGAAAGTGTAAGTAGAAGGGGGCTGTTTTTTCTTGGGTTGTTTTCTTTAAGTACATGTAAAAATATCACGGGATTGCCAAAAAAACGTAATCCTCAATAGCTTTTTGCTGCCTTGTTAGACCGGATGATAGATGGTTGTTTCACACTTGGTTGGTAAATCGTAAACAAGCATATCTTCTACGTCAAACACGCCTCTGTTAATGAGTGTTAGTAATGGGCTTTATTTGCGCCTTGGTGTGTATTTTTTGTTGGTGTGTGAGAAGTATCGATATGACTGTAGGTAATTAGACTGTACTAAGAATATTCAGGCCCAACGGTGAACAAAACTACAGTACTTTGCTTGCTGGTTCTGGCAGGCAACAGTAGTTTGTCTTCAGCCTGTCTATTGGCTCCCCCAGCTGTCTCTCAGAGGTTTCACCCGTTCAGCTTCCAAATAAGGGCCTCGTGAGTCCGCCCCTCGTGACTAACAGAACCTCCGGTGTGAAGGTAGTGACAATGTAGCCATTTGAGCTTCCGGTCGGGATTTTCAAAATTAGAATGGAACTGAAATGGAGAACTTAAGCGTACTTAATCATAAAAGCTGCAAAATGAGCATAATGTATATGCAGGATTGGTCAATTTGACTCTCCGCTATTTTTCTTAATTTCAAATTTATTTATATAGTACATTTAAATAAACAGAAATCACCAAAGGGCTGTTTTTTGTTTTTTTTTGTGTTTTGTTTTTGTTTTTTGTTTTGTTTTGTTTTTGTTTTGTTTTTTTTTGTGTTTTGTTTTTGTTTTTTGTTTTGTTTTGTTTGTTGTTGTTGTTTTTAAAGTATACCTATAGTTCTCTCCTTTTTAAAGTGGAAGTGACTATAGTGGAAATTTTTAGGCACTCTTTAATAGACCTCAAGCCTTGTTCCACTGAAAATCAAATCTTTACTACAAAATTTAATGTCCTGAATATTTTAGCTGCAAAGTTTTTATTTGTATTTATTCATTTTATTTGATTTTTTTTATGGAAGACTGTGTGTATCCTGGAGGTCTTTTGCAACTTATCTCCCCTACGCTTTTTCTCTGTCACACATTTACCCCCCATATTCCATGGGTACAAATATGCAAGAACTACCACCAGATTCTTATGACTCATCTGAGTTGCAGTATAGAGCGGGATGGTGATAAGGGTTATACTGCACGAGAGAAGCATGTGGGTGATAAGACGCCAGAGAATTCTGGTGATCTATTACTGACCAGCAGGCACTGAAATACTAAATCAGTAGAGGCAACAGTAAATACAAGGGCTCATTTCACGTCACAGGGATTAAAAGGGAATTAATCAGCATTTTAAAACATTTTTGTTGTAAAGTGCTGATAATTTGTTTTTGTTTTTTTGGAGGGGGGGGTCTAAGACCTTATTTTTTTTAAATATTTATATATGTGGACAGAAATAAACACCTCATATCATTTGTACTATGTGGTACTGTGATTGGCATTTTTCTAATATCTTCATAGGCGCTGACGTTGATTGGCAAAAGATTAAGCAGTACCAAATAAAGTGTTAGGGGCAGCTCTGGAAGCGTAAAAGGTTTGTACGAAATTCGATACTGGCGTTTTCCTCCGTTTTGGCAACAATGAGAACGGAGCCGACAGGAAGCCTTTATTATGAAAGCCTATCGTCTGGTTTCCGGTTTGGGTGTGTCTGGCTGTCGCAGGCTTGACTGGGATCAGTGGCTTCCCCCTCCTGCCGTCTCCCTCTCTGTGTCTCTGCGGTTATCGGGGCTCTGAGTTGGGAAAAATCTGGTGTTGTGGGAATCTCTGTGGGCATCGTCAGCGGGGCGCAGTGCTTTCCTGTCGAAACATGACTGGCTCCCAGGCAGCCAGGAGACACCGCAGCTTTGTGAGTAACCAATAAAAAGGGACTTTTTGTTGTTGTTGTTGTTGTTGTTTTAATTCTTACAAGTTGTTAGCTGGAAAAATAACACGATGGTAACACAGGTGGATGTTTTCTGTGTGGTTCAAAGATAATGAAAACTTCATCTGAGTGTTTCCACTGCATTTGTTCCCAGTCTGTCTCTGGTATCCAACAGTGACCTTATCCTAGTTGATGGTATTTTTATCTCCTCTGCTATCGCTGTAGAAGTCCTAAAATATTCCTGTAGTGACTTAAAAGTATGTCTGTGCTGTTAAAGTGACCTTATAGACTAGAATAGAATAGCACTTTATTGTCATTGTACATGTATAACCAAATTATGGGTTTCTTACTGAGAGTTGCTGTGTTGTAACTGCTCTGATACTTTTTAATACTCTGCAGTGTTAATTAAGTTTTAACTGACCTTGCCTTGATATGAGGTGCAATCTGTGCACAGTTTCTTAAATGTTTAATTTTGCAGCAACTACACGTCTGTTTAATTTCCCACTTTATCAGTGTCTCTTTCTTTTGTCTGCTTAGTGAATGGGGTCAGCCAGGTTAGGGACTGTAGGGGATGGGGAGAACCGGGTGGGGCAGAGTGCATCACTACCCTTAATGAGGCTTTGGTAAGGTGGTCGATACTGAGGCCACACTTAGTATCTGCCAGATTGTTGTTCCAGTTTTTGGGCACAGCACCCAAGAATTGATCCATCTATCAGCTGTGCTGTCAGAGTACACCACCTCA